AATTATTTCGTCTACTTCGGGTAGTTCCGCGGGTCTGTCCGTCGGTGTAGCAATTTCCTCGGCCTCACTCTGGACTAAAGGAATCTCTGGTCCGCCTTCCGCCCACTCGCGTAGATATCGTAGCGCGAATGGTTCTGTCGGGACCTCCTCGTCCTCGATCGCGTTTACTACTAGGTCTCGTGACAACCAATCGGCGACCGCGTTGTCGACGCCCTTTTTATGTATCACGTGAAAGTCGTAAACCGCTAGACGCTCCTTCCACCGTGATACCCGTGCAGAAGATTCTTTAAGAGTTCCGAGATGCAATAAAGGCTTATGATCGGTCAGTAACTGAAACCGTCTCCCGTAAACGTATGGTCGGAAGTATTCCACAGCCCATACTACCGCCAAAAGCTCGCGCTCGATTGCACTATAGCGTTGTTCTGCTTCATTCAACTTCCGCCCCGCGTATGCTAGTGGTTTCTCGCCACCTTCGAAATTCTGAGAGAGCACGGCCCCGATAGCTACCTCGCTGGCGTCTGTGGTGATTTTGAACATTTTAGCGAAATCGGGGAAAGCTAGTAGTGGCCGAGTGGTCAAAATCTCCCGGCATTTCTTAATGCACGCTAGCTGGTCTGGACCTAATTGAAACCGTCTCCCTTTTTTCAATGTTTCGGTCAATGGATGCGTGAGTTCCGCTATCCCGGGTATAAACTTTCGATAGTAATTTATCATACCCAAAAATCGCCTAACCCCACGGGCGTTCTTAGGTAAGGGTGCTTCCAGGATGGCCTTTACCCGCTGCGGGTCCGGCTGTACCCCGTTCCGTGAGACCACGTGTCCTAGAAACTTGATTTCCCGTAACCCAAATTGAGACTTTTCTCGATATAACTTTAGGCCGAATTCGCGCACCCTGTCAAAAACGCGTTTGGTCCTCCTCAGTTCCACTAAAAACGATGAGGTCGTCCATATAGACCTGTGAGTAGGATTCGCCCAGTTCTCGCTGTAGTTCGTCCATAAGGCGTTGGAAAGTCAGTGGGGCCCCTTTTAGCCCGGACGGCATTCGAACGAATTCGAAGTGTCCCCTTTCCCACGAAAAGGCCGTCTTACCGATATCCTCCTCGGCCATCCGGACCTGGTGATACCCGCTCTTTAAATCCAGCGTGCTAAAAATAGTCGCCCCTGACAGTCGATCAAGACCGGCTGCTTTCGTCCTCCGAAGATTCTCCGCTGGTATAGCGTCCCCCGCCTCTCCTACCAGTCCGTCTTCCGCTCCAGTCCTGGTTGTTGATCTCCATGGGCTCGTGCTGTGGTTCCCTTCTGTTCGGTCGGGGGTTGCGCCTTGGACATTCTCTCGCAACGTGCCCCTGCCTGCCGCATTCGTAGCACCTCGTAAGCTTACATTGGGCCGCTACGTGACCCGTTCGATTACATTCGTAGCAACGGCGCCCATGCTTCCGTCTCCCTTCCTCAAAGCCTTTGCTTGGTAGCTTTTCGAAGCCTCCGTTAGTGTTACTCCTCCTCGTAATACTGCGTTGCCGCCTTCTCGGTGATCTCACTTCCGTCCATTCCGCTTCCGGTTTTTCGAAGCGAGTTTCGTTCCGCTCCCTCGCATCGACCAGGTCGTGGGCGCATTCGATAAAATCGCGGTCTCTGGGCAGTGATCCCGGACGGTCCAAATAATGGTTTAGTTGTACCTTTAGCACACCCCTTAGAAACTCCATCTTCTCTCTCTATATATATATATATATATATATATATATATATATATATATATATATATATATATATATATATATATAAATCTATATATATATATATATATATATATATATATATATATATATATATATATATATATATCACAATTAAGGCCACAACTCCGTTCAAAACCACAACAGTGCGTCAGAATTTTAGTACCATGATCGGAGAATTTAGACCATCATGCGGAGCACAGCGAGACGATCATGTAGATTCGTCTTTTATCAGCTCTCATGAACTCAGAAAATACAGGTGGTTCAAAATTTGTTAGATGATTGACGCTTTGGAAATTGATTTCAAGCCATTTGATCCGCTAACGGATCTAGGATTAAATTTGGGGGAAGGGCTTCAGCTTGAAAGCTTTTTTTTTTTGCATATGAAGATTATTACTTTGAAAGAAGAAGAAAGAAACTAAATACCTATATGAAATGGTGTTTAATTGATCCTTGTAGTCTTATTAAATGTAATTACACGAAAAATAATACTTTTAGAGATAATTTTTTAATATTTCCTTCTTAAGACTTGGTTATATTTTACCATTTTATAGGGGGAGGGCTTCAGCCTGAAAGCCCTAACCCCCCCTCTCCCCCGTAGACCCGCCTGTGATTTGGTCGACAACGCTAATTCTTTAAATCATAAAATAAATACTAAAAAGACTCTAATATGCGGAGTCCAGCTAAAAGAAACTGGAGTGTGCCAGACCACCATTTTCAACTTATCAATGTCATATATTTCCCGCTATAAGATGTGCCCATTTCAGTATCAGGCGTTACTTTTCCCTGCAGTTTAAGAGAATAGAGGCTTTGTAGAGGCTGAGTGTGCCCGACCTCATATTTATTGGCTTTGCTTCCACCATCATGTTTCTTCTCTGCGACCTAAGTGATTATGGATTTTGTTTAAGCGAGATCAATATTTGTAGAGGCCGAGTGTACCCGACCGCCCTTTTCTTTTTCTTACGTCATCCTTGGTTCTTCTGCGACGTAAAGAGGTTGCAGTTTTACATTTACTATTACTTGAGTTATTTAATATTTTTTTAAAGGCTGAGTGTGCCCGAACAAAATTTAGTTTTTACTAATATCGTCAACTATATTTTTTGAAATTTAAGGACGCATGGCTTTAAATTTACTTCTGTTTGAGACACTTTAAATCTTTGTATAGGCTCAGTGTGCCCGATAGCCATATCATATTTTTCATTGAACGCCATATTTCTTCCTGCGGTCTGATGGGCTTTACATTTAGGGTCATTTGTTATTAAGGATTGTTTTAGGCTGACTGTGCCCGACTACCACTTATTGGTATTGCTTGCACCGTCATATTTCTTTTCTGCGACCTGAATGGGTTTTACATTGCCTACCAGTTTTAGTGAATACAATTTTTCTAGAGGCTGAGTGAGCCCGATCGCCATCTTCTTTTTCTTATGCCATCTTCGTGTTTTCTGCAATTTAAAGTCTTTACGGCTTTACATTTACTATTATTTGAGAGATCTAATGTTTTTCATAGGCTGAGTGTGCCCGATCGAAATTTGATTACATGTTCGTTTCGATTTTCAGCCTCTACCAATCCTTAGCAAAAAATAACAGTAAATTTAATGTTCATAGCCCATTAGGCCGCAGGAATTAATATGACGGTCTTGCACAATCAACCTTTATAAAAACTTAGGAGTTTCTCAAAAAGCAATATATATTATAAAGTTTTAAGTCCCTTTCATTGCAGGAAATAAAACGGGCGCTTAAGAAAAAACGAAATAGTTGCCGGGGACTCTCAACCTCTACAAAGATTAAACTGTCTGATAAAGCAGTAAAGACAAAGCATTAAGCCCACTTAATTTCAAGAAACGAAACGGGGGCATATTCAAAAACGAAACGACTGTCGTGCCCACTCAACCCTCTACAAATACTAAAGCGCCTCCAAAAGAATTAGATATAAAGTTTTTAGTCTTTTTAAATACAGACAATAAAATAGGTGCATATTAAAAAAACGAAATAGCTGTCGGGCACACTCAGCCTCTACAGATTAATGTGTAATTAGCAGTAACTATAGTGCTTTATATCCGTCTGATTGCCAAAAACGAAACAAGGGCATAAGCAAAAACTAAATTTAGAGAGGAAAATGTGAGTTTAACTATGGTTATTTCAATTCGTTATTTATCTGAAATAATCATTTGGGAAATAATTATTTCATTAATTCTGAAATAATCATTTCGGAAGTAATATGCAAGTTATTTAATAAAATAAATCATTTCCGAAATAGCTGGGTGAGATTATTTAAAAATTTATTATGGAATATCATTTCAAATAAATTCTGTTCGGGTCTAGTGCGCTGTTTAGATGAGACGTGCATGGCATAGTGAGCTTGGAATCTTAGCGTTATTCACTAAAGGGATCTGTGCCTGACCCATCCCCTAAGGTAAGTGAGCGTAAGGGAAGGTTCCTGCAATAAATCAAGCCACCAGGCGGAGACTCGTTAAGCAGGTCAAAGTCCATTTCGGACTTAATTCCATTGAAAGTCAAAATGAAAAATGTAAGCATGTTTGCAAGCCATATATGTTAAAAAATCTGGTTTACCAACAGTTATTTTACATATATGTTGCTTTTGGATCAATGCAAATATTTCTGTAATATTATTGTTAATATAACGATTTGCAGAGCAATAGTTGTTAAAATCAAGGTTTGGGGAATGGCCTTCTAAGCGAAAAGAAACTCGTATATTTTTATTTATGTACCATTGATTACTGTTCCATTATAACATTTTTCAATACGAAACATTTGTCGCAGTTTTTATTTAATCTTGAGATACGAGATTTTCCAAACTGTACCAACCAACCCCGGAAGTAGCTAGGCACACTTTTACTTCTTGAATTTAAAGTTTCTTGAGAGTTCAGCGCTTAACATGAAGGTTTGAAAAACATTTTATAGTATATACTTATCGATGTACTATTATATAAGACCAAGAACATTTATTAACTATATGAAAAGTATTCTCATGAAAGACCTGGAGTCTATCGATCATTTTTTTCTAAAATAACATATCTATTAATAAAATATCCATATTGTTTCATCAAAGCGAACATTCAACACATTTATTTCTACACGTGACAAGTTGGACCTCAAAGGTAAATAATAAGGTAAATATGTTATGTCTACGTTCCAAATCCGCTATTAATCCTTCTATTTAGTATCTCTAGAGAATAAAAAAATAAATACGAACCTTTTTTTTTGAAAGCAAGTAAATATATGTGTGTTTATTATGGACTGTTGCAGGTATGACAACCCCTTTAACACGAAAGAAGATATTGATAATCAGTGGAGTAGTTCTAACCATTATTCTGATTATTGTCATCATAGCTGTTTCTGTTCCTAGTGCAACTGCAGATCCCCAGGGCAGAGATGCCCTTAATTATGTACCATTCGTTGAAGGGTAAGTGCTTAGAAAGTTAATTTCACAATTGACTGATGTTTTTAATTGTCATAAATTATTCAGTTATCAATTAATCTAAATTTTTTACTAAACGTAAATTTACCATAGATAACGGATGTAGAAAACTGATGATAGCTAGTGTAGCCGGCAACACTGGTTAATGACACTGTGTGTGTTTGTGCGAGCGCGTGTGTGTGGGTGCGCGCGTGTGTGGCGGGCGCGTGCCGGTGTGTGTGCAACCTTGGAGACATCCTCTTACAATAAAAGTGAAATTTAGTACCAAAGGAGTTAGACTTATAAAGATTACTGAGCAATAAACTAGTTTGGAATAACGGGTTTAGTAATATATCCTTGCTACTCAAAGAAATTGTAAATTGTTGGATGTTTAATAATGTTGATTTTCCAACTGAACTAATTAACAATGAACATATGTTGCCCCAAGTGCTGTTTTCATTAATATTAAGCAGAGACAAATACACATATCTATATCGCTTCCTTCCTCTAGTCTTCTACTCTGCTCTCTGTACCAATCGTCTGTGTATCGCTTCCAATCTCTGTTCCTTTCAGTCTCACCAAATAAATCCATTCTCCAAGTCTACCTGCAATAACACCTCGGATCCACTTGGTCCCCTCCCCCGTTGGCGAATCTCTGTAGTCCAGAACATAGTCTTTGCTCTCCCTCCCCGGAAATTTCCTAGCTAACTTTTCTTCCAATTTTGGCGTTCGTTCGTCAATCAGGTGCAGTGCCTCCACCCTGCAGCTGATGTCTCGTCCTAACATCCACTAGGCTGAAGTCCCTACATTAGTACTAAGTATACAGTCCAGTAAAATAACTGAATCTGGTTGCAATACTTATGGAAACCCACTTATTTTTTGAGTCCTATTTATACATGCCTAGTTTTCACTGATTGATCATTCAGGCATTACATTTCTTACTGATGATGGCCACGAAAAACACGTACGATGTAGTACAATTTCGTCATTAAACATGGCATGAGTTGTTTTATGCTCGACGTTTTGGTACTGTCTAGGCAACTTTCCAAATTTTAATTAAGGCAAGACAAATAACTCTCATGAGTTCTTAATAGGCAACATTCTACATATTTATGTTGTGGACCGTATTTTAATGAATTGGTAGGTTTTACGAATTGTGCAAAAAAAGCTTAACATTTTTATCCTGGTATGGACTATCTCTTTTACCTGAGGGCCCTCAAGTCTGGTAGTTTTGCCTCCGTAGATATTTGAGCTGGAATGCGGCTGTCGTACCGTGAGCTGGTACGGATTAAATTTTATCCTTTAGAGCTTCTGATCTGCCCCCACCACTCACCGCAACGAGAGAATTGGAAACTATCTTTGCACAATCAGGTACTATCTGTGGAATTAGGATATCCGCCAAACATGATTGCCCTTGACTTGTTGCTGGGTTGGACGAAAACACCACAAATACCAGAAAATGTCTTGCCATGGAATCACACAAACTCATGATCACAACTTTGAGAATCTTTCGTATCTTAAATTGGACTGAAAACCTTATATGATATAGATTTTACACAGCGCAGCTCGATAAAAACAGAGGGAGGGGAAGAAAAAAATCATCATGAAATTCTCTTATCTTTAAAACGTTGTTAATCGATTTTCGTTTAAGTCTATTATTATTCACATAAAAACTTTATAGGTTATGGGCCGCATCCGTTTCTTTCGTTAGTTTCATAGATGTGGGCACCCCTGTCATAAAAAAACTGATTTCGCACACTACCTCGGTAAAACATTTAGGTTTTATTGGACGTTTTATAGCCTTGGGGCATCGTGCTAAACGGAGTCGAAATAATGATTAAACTCCTTTTCATTTTATTTCTGAGGCATTCTCTCAACAACTTTGACATCTAATGCATATATACACCTGATGAATACTGAAACTCATTAGGACAAATGCGTCACAAATGTAAGAGGCTGCTAAAAACTCATATAAACAAACAACAAACCTTCCAATCACAAACACTTATAATACAATTTCCATTGTAGTTAAGCTTACCAAAAAATCTAATCGACTTAAAGACTTACATAAGAATCTTGTAATAATAAACATATCCGACATTCCATTTAACCAATAACCTGATTTAACGAATAATTTGAATTAAAGTCATAAGGAGGCCCAAATGGCTTCAGGTCACCACTATGCCTCATATTTCATCAATCGTACGCAATATTCACAGGCTCTCTTTTACCTATATTTATAAATGAAGATTCATTTTAACCAGTTTCCATCGGTTTATTTATATATTACAAAGTCTAACCGTAGAAAAATAAATAAATAAATGGTTTACACTTTTAAAGTAATTTGTTTTATAATATTGTTTTAGGAACTCTGATTTCAAAACCTACATGACTTCAAATTTCTCCGTCTCAAATTATAACTATAACGATCACTTTAAGGAAAAGACCATAGGAGCACAGGTGAGTTCTTTCAGCTAAATTATACGAAAATTATTAACATCGAGGCTGCTTATTTTGAATTTACAATCGGAATTGGTGTTGCCTTAATCTTCGGTTCAATTTTTAGGGATGCATTGCAAATTTCATTGATATAAGAATTGTATTTAGTATTGTTAAATAACGAATAGCAGTAGAGAAATAACATTTTATTTAACTCTTGAGCACTCGCCCTCACCTCAGAGGAAAGGGAGAGTTTAGTCTACAATTTCTGGAATATGGTCGTCAATTTCCTGTAACGTACCTCTTAATTCGTTGCAATGGGTTGCACATCGCTTTTTGTTGTTGAGTTTTTCTTTGTGAATGATATAACAAAATATTACGTTTTGTCTCCCTTATATCTAGCATATACACTGACAGACAAAAAATTCCACCCACTTGTTACCCATTAAGGAACCACGTTGGAAAGGTTGGCTCTGAGAAAAATTACAAGATGCATATCTTTCGTTTCTTCTTCTCCACACTCTTTCACGCCCGTTTGGGGATCGAAGAGCGAATCTTGACTCATCTGTAAAAAGTACAGCACTCCATTCGTCCATAGTCCAATGGCTGTGTTCTCTAGCAAAAGCCAGCCGTGTTACTCTGTGAGTTCTGGTCAACTCTGGTCCTCGTACTGGACGAAAAGCCATTAATCCTCTCATCCTCTTAAGCTCATTTAATCTTCTCCGAGTGGTACGTTGAAAAATTTGCACACCTCGAACTTCTTCGAGCTGATGAATCGCTTGAACAACGGTAAGGTGCCGGTTTCGTAAAATTCTCAATGTCAAAAACCGGTCATCCCGTGGTTCTGTTACCCTAGGCCGTCCAGAACCGGGCCTTCTATTGTAAGAACCAGTTTCCCGAAAACGGCTGGCGGCGTCTCGTAAAGTTTTATATGGAACTCCAATGGCATTAGCTGCATATCTAATGGAACGTCCATCATCAATAAGTGCCACACCACGCGCAACATCCTCAGCACTAAGAGGAATTTTTTAACTTAATATTGAAAAAATTAAAAGCCGGAGACTAAGAAATGTGCTGCAAGAAACGGCACCGAACTAATGATACTGAATAAACATTTTGATTCCATAGAAAGTAAACATTGGAATCTAGAATCATTTCATTCAATTAAGGATTAAGGGTTATTGTCCTCTATATTAACATTCCTAATTGAAAACAAACAAAACGATTACCTATTTATTCATTAAAAACAATAGACCAATCCAAAGCAGAAATATTTTTAGATGAAAACATGAAAAAATCAAGTGGGTGGAATTTTTTGCCTGTCAGTGTATATTCGCTACCAGCCTATTTAGGTACATTACGTCTCTGATGAGGGATAAGGTTGTTTTCGTAATTATTTTTCACAATAATTTATTTTTTAGATTTTTATGAATGTTATATAAGTTCACGCATCGACCCGCTTTATTTCTCAAATGCTCAAATTATGGGACAAACTGTTACCTGAGCATAGTCATTATAATGCATGTAGCTTCACCAATTGAGTGTGTTAAATAGATTTTCTTTATAATATTATATCGTTAAAATATCAATATCATCACCACTCGCCTCACCAGGCTGGATCCGCTAGTGCGAAGAAATAACTTAAGTATACCTTATAGGAATAGGTATTGAACTTCGGGAGATGAGGATGACATGGGGTTTCCAGGAGATGTTTTCTTCAATGCAATGACCATTGATGACTAAACGAGGAAGGTAGGAGTTGGATTTAAGGAGACAATTGGGACCTATAACAGTGACCAGAGTATTCATCGCGTTTAGCCTTGAATTGTTCAAGCTTGCCCAGGCATTGATACTATCTAAGCGTGTCTGAATATTGGCGAACGCAATAGCTCAGAAGGATGAAAGGATAAATAGATTTGGAAGTTGTCAGCTTATAGAAGGTGTGAACAGTGGTAGCTGGAATTGGGAAGATCATTTATATAGTAATTAAACATGAGAAATAGCGAGAAACAAACCTTGCTAAATCCTCCAAATAAAGATCCATCGACTTACACCACAAATTAAATATTTTTATAATTATAGGTTAATGGCTGACTGTCGTGAATAATGAAGAGAAGGATGGTAAGTATATATGTGTGTGTTTTTGTATTTGGGTAATTATTGATCAATGTAGTATTTTTTATCAAGCTTTAAGCATTGCGATCTAATGTATATAGAAATATTGGGTCGAACCGAAGACCAATAAACCTCAATCTATTGAATCAAGAAAATCGGACTTTAAGTGCCGAATTGACGGCCCCGTCTTCAGAGACAAATCCACAATTGTCATCCATTGCAAATAAAAGTTTTAAAGAAGTTTCTCAAAGGTATCTAGATTATAAAAATACTTAAGAGAAGGATGGTTGGGGTGATCAGTCAGAAATAAAGAGGTAAAAATAAATAATATTTATTTTAACATTTACCGACGTTTCGACCTGAAGTTCAGGCCTTCATCAGGGCTGCTCCCAAAAGGTTGCTGGAGTACAGTGGCCTTCTTATTTCTTATTTCTTTTGCCTTATTATTTCTGACTGATCACCCCAACCATCCTTCTCTTAAGTATTTTTATAATCTAGATACCTTTGAGAAACTTCTTTAAAACTTTCATTTGCAATGGATGACAATTTTGGATTTGTCTCTGAAGACGGGGCCGTAAATTCGGCAGACATGTCTCAAAGTCCGATTTTCTTGATTCTTTAGATTGAGGTTTATTAGTCCGAGGTTCGATCCAATATTTCTATATACATTAGATCGCAATGCTTAAAGCTTGATAAAAAATACTACATTGATCAATAATTACCCAAATACAAACACATAGACATATATATAGGTACCTAAACACGGTCTTAACCTATTCAGTCCTCACATTCACAAATTAAAATTTTTAATTTGATACTTCTTGAGTAGATTTTTAATACGTATTAATTTATTCAATAGTTTTTAATTTTATAATGACAGAAAATTTTCATTTTTATAATAAATAAATATTTTTAAACTATTAGGGTTTAATCTCTGTTTTGTAACTATAATATTTCTTTTTTAAAAATAACGTTTCACAACAATGTGGATCTGTAGGGGTATCCAACTCTCAAATCAACAACCAGTAACATCACTATTGAGTTTACGTTAAATTCATATTTAACAAATAAATCGTTCATTTGAATTTAAATCATTAAAATCAGTTAAAAAATAAAAAAAGTATTAAAAAATCAGTTGCTTGACCCGGTATGTGTAGTGTGTAATTTTTTATTTATTTTTTTGGAGTAGAGTGGACTAGATTGATCTCTCATACTCAATCTCATCGTAGAGCTGATGTAGTGAGAAATCATGGATGCATTGAATTTTTTATTTTATTTTTTTAAATATATTTATTGAATAATATAACATTCTGTCACTTGGACAATGGTTATAGGGAGGTGAGACCACATTCACACTATATTTACAAAAAAAAAATAATATAAACAGAATCAAAATAATTAATGAATGAACTTGTGAATTAGACCCACTTTTTATGAGCCGGTAAAATAGCACAATGAACCCATTATAAAGTTAGTTCCAAAGAATGAGTAGGATTTTTTTTCTGAATTTTCAACGCGAAATTTCTCAATTGGCATAACTTTTTTTTTCTCGAAAAACTAGGCTTTTGCCCCACTTTGCACCGCAATAAGCTCCGCCATTACGCCTTACTTATAGGTTACTAAACAGATGTATTAAATTAATTAATTGGTTAGTAATTGTAACAGTCTTGAAAATGATATTATGAAAAGTAGTGAAAAATATAATTTATAATTTGTATGTACAGGTAATCACCACCTCAGTGGCTTGCCAAGCACAATTCCATGACGCCGTTTCCCAGACAATTGACCAACTGGATTTCATAAAACGGTTGGTGGATGGATCCAAAATTATGAAGATTGCACATAGTGCCGAAGAGATAAAAGCGAACAAAGCCAATAATCAGCGCAGTATCGTATTGGCTATTGGAGGAGGCCATTCGTTAGATAACAGATTATCAACTTTAAGAAACTACTTTAACCAAGGAGTCCGTATTGTCAGTTTGGCATCCATCGATTGCACAAATCCCTGGTAAGGCTAAACGTAGCAAATATATATATTTTTTTTTAATGAGTATTACAACAATCTGTCACATGGACACTAGTTATATTGAGGTAAGATAACATTCACACTATATGTACAAAAAATAAAGAATAAATAGAAGCAAAATAACAATAAATAGTAATCAAGAGTATATACAGTAAATAAAACAAAATAACCTAGAAATAAGAAAATTAAAACATATGCATACCTATATAAGCTATTTAAAGCAAATAATAAATCAATTAAAATTAAAGTCTCTATGATAGTAAGTAGACCATGTAATAATGATGCTAGTCAGGAATATGTCCTTTTTTTAGAATACATGTATTATCTTCCTATTACTATTATCTTTTTATTATGAATAAATAAAAAAAAGAGCAACATTAAATAACAAATCACAATAAAAATTAAATAACTTAATAAATTAAATGAACAATTAATTATTTTAAACATGTGAATATGGAAGTAAATTAGTTAATAAAATAATAAAAATTAGGTAAAGGGAATGGGGGGGGGGGAAGGAGGGAAGTAGTTTAGTAACTGAATGTAGGTTAAAAAACTCTCTTTAAGATCAACAAGAAGTTGAGAAATATCTAAAATATACCATTTTGGAACTCAATGACCGACTTAGATTTGACCTATCTACCTTCGATGTTATGTAAAATGATCTAATTCTAAAAAAAAAATCCTGTTGGTGTGGCTGAGAGAGAAGCGCTGGGATCTCTTGGAGTCTTGCTTTGTCCTCCACACGTGGGGAAAAAGGCCGGACTTGGAGCTCCCTCGGCTTATTGACTGTAAATATTGTAAATAAGTATGAATGTGTTTTTAATTTTTTTTATTAATGTTGTCTCAAGTTTGATTTATTCTATTGTTTCAAGTTTTCTTCTCTTTTCTTTTGTTATAATCTTGTTTTTCTTTTATTATGGTATGATAATGTTTCATACATCCTAAATACTCAATGCCCTTAATTGAGGCAAAATGTATTTTTTCTCAATAAAAAACATATTTTTAGCTAAAAAAAATTCTACAAATCGAATATTTTTTAGGTTTTTGCATTTTTACACTCATGAAACCAATACCTACCAATCTGTGGAAACGTTGAATATCTAATTTTCATATTTGTTGAAACTAAGATGTAATGATGGCGAAAACACTTTATAAGAGAATTTTTCTGACGAGTAATGAATTTTTGCGTTTAACCATTTGTGCATAGCATCGATGATATACAATTAAATCAAAATTATCATTGTATCTAATTATAATTATAATTATAATTATAATCTAATTACATAAAAATACAAAAACAACGCTAAATCGGTAAATTAATTTATTTGATTCACATTATTATCTCAATACCCATTTGATCATCTTCCGTTGCTGACACCAACATAATAAATAATTATTTTATTGTATAATTAAGGCACATATTATTTTTTACTTTTTTATATTTTGATAAATTGCTATTACTGTGTAATATAGTGACTGTAACAATATCTTTAAGATCCATAAAAAGTATTGCTAATGAATACGTTTTTTTTTTTCCAGGGCTAAATCTGCAAGTGGAGATAAAGATAATATTTTCGCAACTGGAGATTTTATAAAAGTAGGTATGAGTTTTTACTTTAGGTCCTAAAAAAAATATAATTCAATAATTTATACCTGCAAGTAATGATTTAAATTGGCATTGGCCCTAGGTTCTCTTTCCAACGAGGATTCACTTCCAACTTTATAAACCTTACAACCCATCTTGCAGCAAAATAGGCGCCGGCATTGAGGGGGAAAGGGGGGTGAGGAGGTGGTTATTTCTGCCCCCCCTCGCCATTCCATTAATTATTTTCATTCATTTACCATCCCCCTCTCAATATTTTATGATGAGGGCCAGACTTTTCGATATTTCTTAGTCATTTAATGATCGTATAATATTACAGATAATGAACTGATTATTGAGTTACTCCTTTATGTTTGGCGTCGTATTACATTCTCTAATACATAGAACACTGTTATAATGTTATCCTAATCTTCGCCCCCCCCCCTCAATATTTCTCAAGTGCCGTCGCCTATGTCTCTACTTCCATTCACCTGGTTATAATACTATATCGTGTTTTTCTAGACTTGGAAAACGGTACACTCATATTGATAGACTAGTTACAGCTAATTTTAAAGTTACTTCCAAGCTAGTTACCAATGTGCAGAGTACATTCCCGCTCTGTACGGGTAAGCAATTCAGGTGGCAACTGAAATCCTCCTTCTGAAACGTGAGGCTTATAATCTTCTCGTTTTAACTTTAAGCAACAGCCATGCGTAATAAAAAAATTTAAAAAAAGTAAATAAATTAAAAAATCAGCATATAAATGTTTAAACATATTGATTTAACACGATTCCAGTGACCTAGATAAGGTTGGTAGCTTAGTTTCAATGCATGCGATTTCTTGTGCTTTAAAATTGTTAAATTAAAAAAAAAAAAATAATAACTAGGATGAGAATCACATTAGTTTACGAACAACACATAAGAATAGGAATCATATTTACTTCATGTTTTTAAAGAATGATAAGCATATGCTCACAATTTAATTTTTTTTTTTTTTTCATTTAGACATCTAATATTCTGTCACAGGGACAATAATTATATTGATAAATGAACACATTCACACCGTATATAAAAAAAAATTAAATAAAATTAGCAAAAGTAAAATAATAACTAAATAAAAACTATATACAATAAAAAAAAATAACCTAAATAAAATAAAATTAAAAACATAAAAACAGTCACACCTATATACAATCAGGCGGGGAACCCAAATCCCCTCGCTACTCCCTCAACCGCCTCACCGGTGCTAAAGCCGGTGGAGTTTGAGCGAGAGCGCTAATTTAATTATAAAGCTTAAAACAGAATAATAATTTTACTGAATATTACTATACACATTGATAATAAACCTAAATTAAATTAACATTTAGCGGTCATGTCGTTCGTTTGCCTTTTTCTCCTCTCAATTTCTTTTTTTCGCTCCGTGGCTCCCTGAGAAAGATTTTTTTTTTCAAAACTATGACTACTGTTGATTGGTAGTGCCATATCTTCTTCGCTATTTTCCTTCGCATCAAATAACGTCGAAATTGACCTGTTGACCTAAAATTCGTGTTTAAAATAAGTCATTTAACTTTAAAATAAAATTATACAAATCGAGCAATTGATCTAGATTTTTTCTCAAGTAAACTGCTATTGAGACTAGATTATAATTAATATTAATTATTTAATAATGTCAATAATTTAGTGAATTTCCGTTTCTATCTATTAAGAGTAATATGATATATCCAGTCGTGATCATAGAAATTACATCACCTATTTCTTTTGATTCTTATGTTAGCTTGAATGCTTTTGTTTTTCTTTAGTTAATTAGCTTACAAGAAAACTTAAATAATGTTTCTTACTCAGTTTTAACTAATGCCAGGATAAAAGCTGTAATGTAACCATTTTCAAACAACTTTGCTCGTCAGATAATATTTTATTTATTTTTTATTTGTTTATTGATAAATATTACAATCTGTCTCAATAAAGGACATTTATAATAGAGTTCTGAGAGCACATATTTACAAATTAAAAAAAATAAAAATAAATAAGCTAACTTCAAATAATATAAAGCTACAAAAGAACAAAATAAAATATCGTAGTGAAGAAAGAAAATATAAATAATAGAATGAGAATAAATGAATAAAATAGAATTAAAATTATCTTAAAAAAAAAAAAAGTAATGAAAATAAACATCTGAGATGCAGGCATACCTATTTACACTATTTACAGTCGGCCATGGGAACTCCGAACCATACTTATCCCCCCACATGTGGAGGGAAAGCAAGGCTCAGATAATATTAAATTTCGATGTGAAGGAAAATAGCGAAGAGGATATGACACCACCAATGAACAGTAGACATAGTTTTGAAAAAAAAAATCTTTCTCAGGGCTCTATGGTGCGAAAAAAAGAAACTGGGAGGAGAAAAAGGCAAACGAACGACATAATCGCTAAATGGTGCGATTGTGTTTTGAATATAGTTTTAAAACTGCCAAAGAAATGTCTAGAGATCATGTAGATAGCAATCTGGTTAATAGAATACAATGTTTACTGGGTGATGCTATTTCTATGAGTACAAAAAAGAAAAAAACAGAAAGAAGAAATATAACAAAAATACTCATATATTTTTGCTATGTATTATAGATATAATGGTGGGTTGATGGTTGACTGTCGTGAATAATGAAGAGAAGGATGGTTGGGGTGATCAGTCAGAAATAAAAAGGCAAAAATAAATAATATTTATTTTAACATTTGCCGACGTTTCGACCTGAAGTTCAGGCCTTCATCAGGGCTGTTCCAAGAGATTGCTGGAATAGAATGAGTCACTCTATTCCAGCAACCTCTTGGAACAGCCCTGATGAAGGCCTGAACTTCAGGTCGAAACGTCGGCAAATGTTAAAATAAATATTGTTATTTATTTTTGCTTTTTTGTTTCTGACTGATCAACCCAACCATCCTTCTCTTCATTATAGATATAATGCAATTGTTCTATGTAAATTTATGTAAACGTTTTTTTATAGCTTGTCTTTTCTTTGTTTTTTCAATTCTTTATTGAGAAATATCTGTCACATCTAAGAACAATTATAACAGTGTTAGAAGAGAAGGTCATTCACACTATATACAATAAATAAAAATAAATAAATAGTAAAATAATAACACTAAAAGTAAATTTATATCAACTAAAAGAAACTAAACTAATCTAAATAATTACTATAAAACATATTTTGGAAGAGTGCCCTTTTTACACCGCAAGATTAAAAGATCTCGGAATACCCCAGAATATATCAGCATCCCTGGGAAATCAAGAAGAAATCGTTACCAAGGTTATCAATTTCCTGGATAATGAAAGACTTTAAAAACATATATGACAAGCTTATGATTAATGATCCTTTGCAGATTTATTATTTTTTATTTTTTTTTCATTTGTTCATTTCATTTCATTTCAAGTTCATTTGTTTATTAATTTCAATTCATTTATTGATTTTACTGCTATTTTTTTAAAGTTTATTTATTTATCTATTCTATCTTATTATCTATAAGTGTCTATTATTATCCTTATTTATTTATTTTATTCTATCAATCCATTTCTTTATTTTTTTTTATCATTTTTTTTATTTTTTGTACCAACCATCCAAACAGTATTTAGTGATGTTATTTATTTGATTGGGAACTTATGACCTGGCTATTTTGCGCATAGAAATCGAGACAAACAAACACTACTACTTAAATACACACATGCTTTTATAAAATATTTACAAATTCGTTCACTCAAGATTTCTGAGCCAAACCTTCTACACCCCCTCCCCCCATTCCCCACCACTCGTGGAAGGAAAGCCAGGACTATATGAGATCGCAGCGTCTCTCACTCAGCCGCATTACTGGTAATAAGGACCAGTGGAGGCTGAGCAGAGCCGCTTCAGCTTGTAAAAAAGATGATTTGTAGTATGCTTTGTATGTAGCAACCCAATATAGTTGGAAAGCACATGTTACATAATACATTTTTTTCCTTTCTCTTAATGCTTTTCTCGTTAAAAGTTTTCCAGCTGAAGATATTAACAAGTAAATGTTTAAGGCAGTTGTAGCGGAAATGAATCGATTGGGTATTGCCATCGACTTAGCCGGATCTGACAAAACAATTCAGACAGCAGTGATCGACATATCAAAAGCTCCAGTTGTCTTCAGAGGAGTTGGATTTAACAGCTTAGTTAAAAATGACTTTAACCTTGATCCAGATATCTTGGAGAAATTGGTATATTATTTTTAATATTTTAGTTAAAGTTTATGTTTTTAATATACTTATCATTTCTTGAAACTATTGTTGCCCAAATGCAAGACCCCTCTTGGTCTTGATCTTGCCGCAAAAGTCTTGCAGTTACCTACTAGCTTATTACTATTTATTAAACTTATGTTACTTTTTAAAAACGCTACCGAATAGGTACATTTAGATGTTTTATTGACATAAACATAGTAAAGAACAACCAAATTAATAAAATTAACTTGACAACAAATTATAGGCATTGTCAAGAACGATAGTGATAGACCTTGGAATGGAAGAGTTGTAGATTATAGACAATCTACACAATGTCATCAATTATTTAAATAAAAAAATCTGGTGTGTCCATTCACGTAACTTCTCTTGAACAAATTTTGTTCGATTTTAAACATGTTCATTAAACATAAGACAATAGAATTAGGCTAATTTTCTTGATAACCAATCAGAGAAATCATTACAGGATTTCATTGATGAACCAAAGCAATTTAAATGGGCAAGTGGACAATTAATAAAATCAGTATATACAATTCAATACACCGCAACGTTGCTAAAGCTGGTCCGATTTAGACGATTTTTTATATTTTTGTCGAAAATTTAATTAACTTTTAAAAAATGTTATAGTGGTCATTTTTCAGAATGGGGAAACCTAACTAAACCCCGAATGAAAAATTGGAAGAGTTCAAATCATTACATATAGTAAATAAAATTGTCTAGTATTAGTAACTATTTGGCCTTAATTTTTATTAAAAAAAACGCGTTTTTAAACTTTTTACTAGTTTTCGTCTTGGTATTCCAAAAATTATTCGATCTTATCAAGAGAATTGCAATTTGCAAGACCAAGACTGATATCAGGCAGAACTAGATAAATAATTCCTTTAAAATTAATATGATAATTCCATGGTTGTTCTGCATTATCTTAATATGGAACCTCAGATTTTTTTTTTCTCACAGGACTTTAGGGACCACTTAAAGATTATTTTATGCAGTTTCTTGAGACAATTCATTGAAGATCATTATATCGGCAATCTAGGAACTATTTTAGTTTTTTCTCACTTACAAATAGTGTCTCGAAGGATATATATATATATATATATATATATATATATATATATATATATATATATATATATATATATATATATATATATATATAAGCCCTTGTAGTTTAACAATTTATTTAATATTTCACTACGTTTGGAGCGGTTTGCTCATTTTCAAGTTCTCTACTTATTTAACACAACTTTTTATTTAAGAACTAAAATAAATAAAATTTACATTTACCACGAACCAGGAACGTTTTTACAAAAAAGTTCCTTAGAACTTTCATTTTAAAACATTATTTTTCCCCCAAAAAGTTCCACAGAAACTGTTAAAATACATTGGCACTTTTTAAGTTTAATAATTTAAATCACATAAGTGTGAATGTGTTTTATTAATTTTATTATCATTCAGCTTTAATGTGTTATTTTACTTATCTTGTATATTTCTTTATCTCTTTATTTATATATATATATATATATATATATATATATATATATATATATGTGTGTGTGTGTGTGTGTATAATGTTTTTTTCTTTCTCTTCTTACTTGTATATTTTTATTTCGTATGTGCATATTGTGTGAATGAATAATATAACTCTAGTACCAATGCTCTTCAGTGTGGCAGACTGTATAAATACTCAGTAGAATAAAAAAATAATAATAAAAAATAATAAAAAAAATAATTTAATTCAACTTTCTTCTTTCCTGAGGGAAATTGGACTATGGATTGCATGAATTTTTTTGTAACACTTAATGTCTACTATCACCCATTTAAAAATTTCACTTTAATTTCGGAAAACCTTGAATATTTAAAGAGTTAATTATGCTTACAATAAATTATTTATGGTGAAGATATCGTTGGGACTAACCAACTACTCCTTGAGTTAATACTTGTGTAGTTTTTCTACCCCTTGTTAATTCGAAGAACTTTCGTTTTTAGTTAGTGCTGTCATCTAATTTATGTCACACAAGATATTTATTGTACAGTCGCAGATTAATGCCTAAGCTCACCACTATCTGTACACGGCATTGATGAAATAATTTATTGTTGAAAAAAGTATTGTTATGTTTCAGAAAAATAATGGGAGCTTGGCAATGCTCTCTTTAGATTGTGCCCTCTTTGATAAAGGAGACGATTGCAGTAAGAAGGATTTCATAGGTAAATGTACTTTTAATCTAGCTTGTTCAACAAGATAAAAGTGCTCTATAAATATTTAGTTGGTAATGCTTAAGTTTGTAAAAAGATTATAGGGAGTTTGAAAGGAATAAGATTGGAGAGAAGTCGTAAATAACTGTGTCGATTCATTCTTAAAACAAATACGATTCATATAGCTCATGTTCTCCAACAGTTAAAACTTATGGAAATGTTCCTAATGTCTTATAAATATTTAAAGAGTTGTGGCTATTCCATATGTGCTTTCAGGTGAAATTTTTTTTAATATTATAAAATAAGGCTGTTTTATTTCTTCACCATATTTATTTCAGTTTACATAGGTACGTTTCGGCCGGTAAGCCATCTTCAAGCCATATATAAGATAAACATTATTCATTTTATATTTTGATGCAATTCTGCACTCTATGATGGTGGTATTGGTCCTATTTAATTTAATATTCTATGAATTATAACTCTAATTAGGTTAAGTCAATTTTTTATTTATCTGATATTCACAACTGTATAAAAAAAATACATCTAGTAAATTCGCACATGGGTATAATGACATGAAACACATGTTGAGAAACTACCCATTGTTAGCACTCTAATAATATGTCTATATTAGGATTGTCTATATCACGTGGGCATCTTCTTTTCAGACGACTCGGAGGGTTATCAGGAATTGAGTAGGAAGCAAGGTTAGAAACAAGAGGGTTGGGATGGTTATGAAATTTATTATGGAAGGACAGATATCTGGATTGGACCAAATCTGATACATAAGGAACATTAAGGTCATTGTGGATGATTTTATTTGTAACAAAGTAAGGAGCATTGAGGATTTTACGAAGGATTTTGGATTGTAAGGATTGGATACGAGAGGAATTTGAAGGTTTGGTGGAGCCCCATAGCTCAACTCCGTAAGTTCAAATAGGCCTTATAGTCATGTAAATGAGTCTTTTCTAATTAATTGGAAGGTTAGAGCGTTTGCCTAGTAAGTGTTGAAGTAGTCGGAAACGTCGAGCTGTTTCTTGTCGTTTCAGTCTGGTATGAGGATTCCAAGTTAGACGTTTGTCCAGGTGGAGCCCTAGGAAGTCAACTTTTTTAAATTTGTAACTAACACTACCAGTTAATTTGTGAATTAACAATACCACTAGAAAGAATGAGGTTGCTTTTTTATTCAAATCCAAATATATCAAGGTAAGAGCAACACACATCCTTATGATTTTAAAACAATCTTACTTTATCCAATCATGCTTTTTGCATGTAGTCCAAAGTCAGATTAAATTATAAGTGTGGTTGGGAGGTTGGACATTGTTATATTTTTGTTTATACTGCTCTCTTATTAAGGCTTATTATTAAAACATTTGATTAATTAAGATTTCAATTTTGTAATTATATTGCCATATGTTCTGTTTAGTCCTTTTGTATCTGCTTGGAAATTACATACTGTGTCTTTATTTATTGTGTATAATAACATATGTTACTTTCATTACATATGTTGTCATGAACACTTTTCGCATAGTCACCAAATGTTCATTGCTTTTATCTCTTCTTCTTTCTTCTGTAGCTCCATAACTCATTGGAGAGTCAAGGCCCTCTCCCTTCCCTCAGTTGGAGTCCCCAGTCTTCTCTGTTTTGTGCTGATGCTTTCCAATTTTTTATACATCCTCTGAGCATCTACTGCTAAGTAATCCACCCTACGCATGCTAGGTTTTTTTAACTCTTCTACGTCCAAATATTTTTTCTTCTAGGAGCAATTTGGATACTTCGTTACTATTCATGCGTGCAATATGCCCTGCCCATCTTAGACGTCCTTTATTATTTATTAAATGGAATGGATTCATTCCCCGATCTCAATACATCGTTTATATACGCAGGCCTCACAATTCTTTTTAAAATCTTTCTTTGCGAATCTCAAAAGAGCTGATTCAATGGCTTTCGTCATCGCCCAGCACTTAGATGAATAGGTGAGGACGGGCCTGATCAGGGTCTTATCTCATAAAAGTCGGATTTATTGTACTGCTGGCTTATAGGAGGTTCTTTTAACTTATGCATTTCATACCGAGTTATTTTCTTAACTTGTTTGCTATGATTCCGTGATATTATGGCGTGAATGCTGGCCACCAACAGATTGTGGTCCGAATCAATATTTGCTCCTCGGTGTACTCGCACATTCTGTATATGGGACCTGTATCTCCTACTTATCAGGATATGGTTTTTTCTGATTTGTGGAGATTTCATCATTGGAGCAGCAGGTCACAAGGTATATCCTGTTGTGACGGAACAGAATGCTAGCAGCCACAAGATCCTAAGTTACCGCAAAACTCCAGTCTTTCTCCATTATCATTCATGACTTCTTTGTCACTTTGACTTTTGGTTTTTTCCAATAGTGGGACGAAAAACTCATTCCCTACCAATTTGTGCATTTAGATCTTCAATTATAATTTTCAGGTCATTTTTGGGGATCGCATCGGTAGCTTGCTCAAGGATATGACTGGTCCAAAGAAGTCTCTCAAGCTTCACACATTTCACCATATCCATGCAATTGTACCGATCATAGAACTCCTTATTGGAACGCCTTCGCTAAGTATCTTTCTTTTTAGGATAGTATAGTAAGTTCTCCTTATTACCTTTTAAATATGCGCAGCCGATTCTCTTCTGCTTCCGTTGTGTACCAATTGTTTGTTCTATATGTTAGGACTGGCCGGGTAGAGCATTTTACCTGCTGTGAGTGATCGAATATAACACCCATTTGCTGATGAGGATGGCGCATAAATCTCCCATCCCCCAAGATATTTTATTTATTTCTTATTTTAAAAAACAGCTCAGGCAAAAAATAGAATTTAAAAAATCGTAGATCATATATAATTACACATGCTGCGATTTGTTCTATGTTTTCTCCTTGTCCTCTGCTTTGAAAGTTTGCATTCCAAAAATTTTTATGGCTCAACACGGGACATGTAACTCCCTTCTGGGCACACCTAGTTTTACAACATGTTCTGGAACTTCGCTTATGTGCTCATCAACTCTCTTGATAAAAAAGTCCATATTTATGGATTTGGGTTTTAATGATAATATTGTTTGACTTTATTTATGTATATTTTCCCTATCCAAATCTCATCTCATTTTTTTTTTCAAGACCATGTAGCCTTAACAAGCCATCTCTGCCTGTCTTGGGCTGTTTCTCTCCATTTATCTGCACGCAGCTTTGTTGCATCTTTCTTGATTCTATCTATCCATCTGATATTTCGGCCTTCCACGTGGTCTTTTGCCTTCTATTGAGGCATTCATTGTTATGTAAAGGCTTCCAGACGGATTGCTAGAAATTAAATGCCTCGCCCATCTTAACCTTCGTGCCTCCATATCATAGGATATTGATTGACCGGTTTCTGTAAGCAGTTATTTATTGGTCTTTCTTCTCCATGTGTTAGGACTCTGATTTGAATTTTTGTACACTCGGGAATGATTTTCCTTCTACACAGATCCTGTTATTTGGGTGAAATTTTCGGCTTATTATCATACATTTTGTTTTGTCTTCATTTACTTGTATGCCGAGCTGCTCTGCCTCTCTTATCAGTGTTGCAGTGAGATTCTCAAAGTCTTCTTGTTTACTTCCTAGGACAGCTCTGTCATATGCGTATACAAGGATTTTATGATTCATTCCGACGTGGACCCCTTCATTTTCCTGTGATGTTGTTCTTATTACCTTCTACAGGGCTAAGTTGAACAACATAGGTGATAGGCCATCTGCCTACCGTAAGTCCGTTCGAACTTTGAAGGCTTCAGATACTGCTCCTTGTATTAGAAATCTACACATACGGTCGTTTTTCATCACAACATAGAAAAACGAAAACCTAAGTTACATCATAGCTGAACTTTAATTAGAAGAATTTTATTTCTGGATTAACCCTGATATAATTTAGAAATATGTTTAAGAAAGCTTCGTTTCTTTTTTATAAGTGAAGATTTCTTTTTTTTTTTATATCATTAATAATCAATTTTACAGGGTGTCTCAGTCTCAGTCTCAAACCCTGGGGGTAGGGAGATTAGATTCTAGACAAAATTTCCAACAAAAAATTAGTTCAGTTGATGCAACAGAAAAGGATTTAAGGTCAATTTTGCGTCTTCGTTAAGGTGGTCACGTTTTTTATTGAATAAGAAAAAAGTTCTCAAAAACTATTCAAAATAACCTTAACTCCTTTTCCGTTTGGAATCGGCCTATGCATCAAATGAACTTATTTTGTTGGAAATTTTGTCCAGAATCACTCCCCTCCCCCAGAGTTTGGCCATTAAGGACTTAGACACCCTGTATACTATTATCAATTTCTTTATTGTTGATTTTTTTTATTAATTCATGCAAATAAAATAAATTGTCTTGTTTTATGCCCAATAGAATTTCTAAAAACAGCTAAATCGAAGTTAGGAGCTGCAAATATTGGTATCGGAGGACTCGTATACGCCAATGCAAAAATGCCGAAGGATCTGACTTATAACGATATCCCAAGCCTATTTGACGAGCTTATGAATAATGGTTGGACAATTTCTGAACTTGAATTTTTAGCAGGAAACAGCTTCATAAATTTACTTCAAAGAGTAGAAACGGTAAGAAACGAATAGCAATGTCTTTAAGTACTGAATGTTTCTTGTTTGTTACATGTTACTTATGTTACATCTAATGTTACATTTTACATATGAGGTACCACTTTATAAGAGTTACAGACATAAGAGCGATTCCATTAATCTACCAGAAGATATCTTTCTGATTTTGTCCATAAGAGATTTGTACTTCCACTTATCTATAAAATTGTAAATAGATACCACTGTAAATATGTATATAAGTTATTAAATCGTTCTTCATAATTTTTAATTTATTTTCAATTTTTTACCATTAACTTATTTAAGTTAGAAAGTAACTTATAATTTGTTTTTTTATGACTATTTCATTACTCAATTTTTTTAAAAATGTTTCTCTGATGCTCCTTAGCCCACATTTCTGTCCTTCTGTATTAGTCTAAAGGGACTCGTCCCAGAATAAATAAAGTATTATTATTATTATTACATATGTAATATATAGTAAGGTTAAGTATTGCGATTGTGAAAATTTTCGAATCTGAGTTTTCAGCGGAAAATACACGTTTTGATGTCCCCTGAGTCTAAATAACCAAGTCCCACAAAATGGTCTGTGTATGTTTGTGTGTGTGGATGTATGTGAACAGCCTAGCTCAAAAACGTTAAGTCGTACGAAACTGAAATTGCGTATTTCAAGTTTTTATAAGCCTTGTGTATTACAGCAACATCGGCAAACCGGAAGTGGTGTATTAAATAATCCATTTAACACATTTTTACGATTTTCTCAAAAACGGTTTTGATTAAACTCAGTATATCAGTATATTGTTAAGCAGTTTTAAATATAATATAGATTTTATTCTCATTGATGTTCCCTAACAGGGGACAAATGACTAATTTTCAATATTAGCTTCCTCTAAAGTACCTTTAATTTTTTTTATTTGAAATAATTAACCATTTCACATTACTTACTTACTTACTTACTACTTACTTACTTATTACATAGCTCTACAGCCTGGGATGGGCCTTGGCTTCCCTAACCACATTCCACCAGTCGTCTCTGCACAACGCTCTCCTCTTCCAGTTCCTTATATCGAGACTTTCCAGGTCTCTTTCCACATCCTGAATCCAGCGTCTCCTAGATCGTCCTCTCGTTCTGGTACCATACATCTTTCCGAGCAAAATTCTTTTTTGCATTTTGGATTCATTCATCCCAGCTACGTGGCTCAACCATTCGATCCTCCTTGCTCGTATGAAGCAGACAATGCACAAGATCCATATAGCACTTATAGTGCGCTGTTCATCGGGATTCCGCATTCACCTTCTTACAGGTCGATAAATTTTACAGAGAATTTTCCTCTCGAAAATTTTCAACGCATTTATTATGGGAGTGCAAGGGGTCCAAGAAATTGATTAAGGATTGGTGTAATTTTTAAATGAGTTCAGCCTGATTCATATTGTTGATAAGAGAGGTGGTTAAAACTTTGAAATGAAACAAATTTTAATAAATTGATTTCTCAATTTAAATTTATTATAGTTTGTAATATAAAACGCATTTTATCCTTAGTCGTACTTTATTTTATTTCTTCAGTTGTTTTATTTTTATTTATTATATGTACTTTTTGATTATTATTTTTCTTCTGTTTAATTTATATTTTATGTACATAAAGAGTGAACGTAGTCTTAACTCATTATAATTATTGTCTATGAGACAAAATAGAGTCAGGAACAATTAGTTTGTCATTTATAAATACATACCACTTCCTATAATGGAAATCTGGGTGATAAACACATTTTCATTACCAATTTGCCTTAAATACTATTTTTGAAAAATGAATATTTAAAAAAAATTCATAAATAAAATGTGTATTTAGGCAATTATGTTAATTCTAATATATCAAAGATCAAGGAAAAACAAGAAATAAAAGCTTTTTAACAATTAATTGTAGTAATTTTTGCCGAAAACACGAGTGCAGGTGACAGAATAAAAATCACATAATTTCTTTACACAACTTGAGGTGAATCTCACGTTTTCGTCGTATAAACATCAATTAAATTAATATAGACTTAAAACATATTTAACGAGGAAGTCTTTTTTTTTAAAGTGAGGTATCTGCGTTATGATTGGATGATGATCAAAAAAAAAAAATCTCAAATAATTTATGACCTTTTTAAAAAACACAACTTAGCCTAGTCCGTCAAAAGTCCTCTTTAAATGGTTTTAACTATGAAAAACTCCCTTTTCTTTTAAAGTAAATTTTTATCAGCTTACAATGATGACATTGTTAATTAATTAAATTAAATATTTCTTTAGTTTTCGCCTTACATAAAACACAGAACTTGGATCTTCTATTTTTCTTATGAAAATTTGCCATTATTTGTATGAACGTTTTTTGTAGCTCTTGTGGTCTGAAATCATTTTAATAAAAATTTCCCTCTACTTACGAGGCACACTGTATACTTAAATTTCCCAAATTATTTATGCGACAGATCCTGTCAATACATTTTGACATGATATCTGATAATAGATTAAACAAGACTTCTTTAATTTGGAGAAAATTCAAAATTTTCTAACCTCTAACATAAATATACATAAAAAATGTGTTAAATTGTAAAACAAGCAGTTGCTTTATTGATTAAATATATTAATAGCAGGGTCGATTTTAAGATTAGGATTTGATAAAAGCTTCAGATCTTTTTAAAGTTACATTTAATTAGTTCATTAATTCAAACTGTCCGCTTAAATATGGAAGTTGATGCGTGAAACGTGTTAATATGCAAAAACTGCTGTTAAATACGAAATACATCGGACATGTTGGGACATTGCGGACAATGTTAAGGGTAACTGGTTCAACAATATAGAATTTTAAACAGGTATCTTTTATAACTGAAACAGTACAAATCATAATTTAATCATCCAATTACGCTTAGTTTTTTATCATCTTATTTGTTCAATAAAGTATTGTATTCAGCAAATTTAATTTAAATTAGCATATTCATTAACAATTTTAGAATAACAATAATTATAACATTAATGAGATACATGAATGTTTTAGGCTGCAAAATATCTGGCTAATCAAACACCGAATGAACAATTATTCGACATGAACCTGATAAAACAAAAGGATTGCTACACCGCCCAACCGAACCCGAGCCCGCAACCAGAGCCAACAACAAAAGCAACACCAACAGAACCAACAAAACCAACACCAGAACCTACAAAGGAACCTACAAAAGAACCTACAACAGAGAAACCCAAAAAACCATAACAGCATAGATATTCGATACATTTAATTAAATGATCATATTACTCATTTGAAAGATGTGTATTCCAGTGAAATAAATGTGTAGGAACACTTCCTGTAGAAATATAATTTTAAAATGTGCCACGCGATGGATAAAACTGATAAATCGATTTTATTGTGCCTACATAAGTGGTGTTGTTGATGAATGTTTTCAAAATAACATTGCACTAGTCAATTGATTATTATTTATTACTTAGAATTCAGCTTATGATTTCTTAAGTTTTTTAAATGATTTTGTGTTTGAGTTTGATTGAAAAGTTTAAATTATCTTTTGATTTTCTGTGTCAAAAAATGTTTTTATTGGTATCAAAACTAAAAATGAAAAAAAAAAAAATAGAGGGGTGCATATTAATAATTCAATAAAATTAAGTACACATTTGTTATACTATAATTAATTTTACATTTAATAGTCACTTCGACTTGAAAAAAAATCAGTTAAAACATTGTAATAGAAAGATATTCAACTCATAATTGAAGTAATATCAATGTGTATTTTCGTCGTTTTTTTTTTTTATTGTCGTCTTATAAATAATATAAATTCCAACAAGACGTTACTCAATTTTTACTATAGTGAGTTATTTATTTAACTAGATTAATTGCATCGCGACCGATCGAATGGTAAGTATGGATATGCCAAATATTTATTTTTAAAACGTTTCGAAGTTGAAATATGCCATAAATTTTAAGAATGAAGACAATAGCAACGAAATTAGCATTATTTATTAACTCAGTAAAGTGATGAAAATTGAGTTTGGCAGTGTTAGAATTTATTTGACGAAATACCCAATTAACGAAATTAATTTTATTGTAATTATTAAGAAAATAAAGATTTTTTTATTAATTGGTGCTTAAATTGATCTATACTTCAAATAAATTTACCCAACATGTATTGTTTTTTGATAGGGGATTCACTACAGTTGCCCGCGTGCCAAATCCAGCCTGCAAGAATTTTATTAATTTTTTTTTTCAATTACATGGCTACATTTACGATGTAAGTAAATCATTGAATATAATAAGTTGGAAGGAACGGGCCAAAATTCGGGAATGTGATGCACACGAAAATAATTTAAAAAAACCCACATATTCTTATTAGATTTTTATGTTCATCAAATTTTACTGGCTGTTCTAATACTAATCAAAAACATTCATCTATTGAGTATTATTACATTATCTCACATTCACGGACACTATTAATGTGAAACTTTGGGTTCTCGTCGAATTTCCTACTTTTTCACGAATTTGTCCAAAAAATCTCAACTTTTCCAGGACATTCTCGATTCGCGACAATTTCACACACAAACAAAAATTCATATTAGATATCTTGGTACTTTTTGTAATTTTATCATCATCATCCCAAGCTCGACAATCCATTACTGGACCTTGGCTACCTTAACAGTTTCCTTCCACATTTTTCTGTTCTGAGCAGCTGTCCACCAGTTCCTGATTCCGAGAATTTTGGCATCGGCACTTACTTCACCTATCCATATCAACTTCGGTTTATCCAATTTTCATTCCTTCCCCCCCCCCCCGGTTTCATGCTGAGCAGCTTTTTTGGATTTAAGATCTCGACCATCCGTACAACGTGGACCGACCATTCAGCCTTGCTAACCGGATAAATATATCACCACATTCGGCTCCTTGTATAAGTTGGGTAGTTCTTGGTTACATCTAATCCTTCATTCATTATTATCCTTTACTGGGCCATACATCTTCTGGAGGACTTTCCTTTCGAAAACTAACATTTTTCTCTTATTGGCCTTCGTCAATGTCCGTATTTCACGGATGAACTCTCATTGGGTCCCGGAATAAATATTACCATTAAATAATGGGTATCGCAGAGCTCGAATTGGGTCTCGGATGTTCTTTATAAGAGCTGGAATTGGGTCCCACAACCCTGAGGTTACCTGTAGGACAAAACATCCGATTTTCTGCAGATAGCATTTTCACCCAAATATTTCCCTGTATTAATTTCAACGGGGGGTAGTAATCTATGTGATTTGCCGTACTTAATCGAATGACAAAATACTTGAGATAGATAAAAATAATAAGTGGTGGAAGTAGAGCGAAACAAACTTTTTTTTTATTTCTCTCATAAACATACATTTTTAATGTATAGCGGTGTCCACAAGGGAGTGTCATGGCGCAAGTTGTGCCATCAATATTTTTTAGGGCACCACATTTCGACGGGGTTATGAATTTTCAGATTGAAGAGTTTCAAGCCAGGATACAAGAGAAAAATACAGCACAGACCACTGAAAGTATAATTGTATATGAGCTATGATTTATAAAATTTTGCATTAGCTTGCTCTGCTGTTAATAAGAGGATGCATGGCTACAACTGATAAATTGTATGGTTGGACTAGTTCGACGGCTGTCAGTTGTTATATGATTGGTCTTTTCCTCGTTGACCTCAGGTCCTATCTTCAATGCTTCTGCCTATTGCGAGCTGCAGTTGTCCGTCATAGCTGTCACGGATTTTCCAATAATACATATCATCGGCGTAAGCTATTGTTTGATTACTTTCTGTACATAAATTGTTTGTTGTTTGTATCTATTATCCACTTTCCACTGCTAGATTAAAGAGATAGTACACTAGGATGGCACCCTGTCTCAAACATCATTCACACTTGAATTTATTTGACAAATTTCCATGCACTCTTATATGGCGGCTGGTGTCCCCCATAGTTGCTTTGACTGATCTAATTACCTTTGGTGGAATTTCTAGTTTTTCTATTGCCATGTATATTTTTACTCTATTTTATTCATACACTATCATGTGCCAGCCTGAAGTCTACAAAAAACATATGTATTTTGGAGCTGAATCTCTTCATTTTTTTCAGGATTTGTCTTAAAGTGAAGAACTGGACGGTGGTGGACTTTCCCTCAGTGAAGGCACTCTGATTCTGCCTAATCACGCTCTCCGCAAAAGGACGCAGCTTGTTATTGAGAGTGCTGGATATTATATATCGTAGAGAACCATTTAATGGTCCTATAGGTGTTACAGTCCAGGGCATCACCCATTTTCAGTATGGTCATATAATACCAGTTCTTCTTTCTTCTGATATGACTTCCTCCATCCATGCCTACATTTTAAGATTAGGCAATCTTTTTATGATTTCAGCTCCACCGTGTTTGAGGAGGTGGGCCTGCAGGCCATCAATCCCGGCAACTTTATGGTTCTTTAGCTGCATAAAGAAATCAACAAGGTTCCATCTGCGGACTGTATATCGTCGTTAGCATGCTGTTCATATTTAAAGCCATTATCAATTCATTTAAAATGATTCCAATAGTGTTCTATCCATCTTTCCAAAACACCAATTTTGTCTGACATCAGAACGCCACATTTTTTGATTTGCAAACATTTATTTCGAAAATAAAAAACAATTAAGCAAACCGAATAGAAACGCTAATAACTGATGAAACATCAAGCAACGTAAGTGCTTGTGTGGATCATTCTACAGGCTCTGTTCCATGCCTCCTTTGTGTTGATAGATTGGGCACAAACACGGTGAAAAAACGCTCGCCATGTTTTAGGTAATGTGTGAACTAGGCTTAATATAAATTGATTATAGGCAAAGGAATGCTAAACACCTATAAAAATAATAATGATCTTATTTATTCTAATCGATTTGTTAACACATTTTTTTTAAGATTTTACATTATTTTATGCTCGTACGAGATCATTAAAAATAATGGTGGGGACGAACGGGTTGAACCATTTCAAACAGTGTGGGGGACGACTCACACCGTCCCACAGATGTCCACGCCTATGATATAATGTAGTAAAAGGGAGAGTGGCGATTATATAATGGATTTTCATTGTTGTAGCTAACAATGCCTACATTTATACTATTGAATGAGAATGGCCGATTATGCTGAAAATAAAGACAATTTCCAAAGAAAATATATGGAAAATTAATTTTTTTTTACCTTAACAAAAAAAAAAAAATATGCTGTACACATTATTGTCATAGTTTGTATTAATTGTCTTGAGTATTTATTTATAATTAAAGTAATATATTTAAGGTTTATTAACTTATATATAATATTTTTTTCTAAAAATAGAGTGGTAATTAACTGATAATTGTGTGATGCACCGCACATTTTTATTATTATTATTTTCTTTCCATGCTCTGATTAAAAAAAAATCATGTGATATTTCAATAGAACCATGAAAATTTTGAATTGAGTCTTGTTTTGTTTGTCATCTATGTTTTACCTTTTTAAATATATTATTCTATTATTATTGGTCCGTTTTAATGTCAGTAATACTTTTGGACATCTCAGAAGAAGGTCACAGAAATAATACAGAGCAGATACCTCCATTACCAAGTCCTGAAGCTAAGAGGCCACTCACATGTACTTTTCAAACTAAATTTTGAATATTTTTGTTAAATCGTATTTCTCCAGATCGGTATTAGTTCCATACTGTTGTAATACTACGATAGTGATTATAATATATTAATTGCATATAATTTATCAGATGATTCCCACGACGCACTGTGGTATATTTGTGCTAAAAAATATATTTTTTCAAAATGGGTTAATTCGACCGAAGGTTGAAGCGACGCACAGTGGGACAAGTAAGCGAAAACTCGTGATATCTATTTAAATCTATTTGTTTTTTTATTAGAACTCCAAAAACTAGATAAACTGTTTTATTAATACCTTGTGGAGATCCCGAAAATATTTTCAGTATGCAGAATATACATTTTTCATTGTTTTTATTGAATAGTTTAATTGAAAAAAAAAAAAGATTTAGCCGATGTCGTGAGTTTTAATGAGTTTTCCCTAACTCGTCCCACTGTGCGGCGACGGCCTTTTCTAAATAAACATATATTGGAGTTCTGACAGTGGTCAGATTCTCTCCTCAACGTCGGTGGTTATATCCCCTCTGCTCAACCTCAAATGGCAGTGACACTGCTGAGAGAATGGCGCTGGGATCTCCTTTATATCGACATTGGCTTGGAGTTCCCCTGAATGAATATTTGTAAATATTGCATATAAATATGACTATATTTAATAGGTTAATATGATTAGTGTTTTTTAGGTTTTATAACTGGTTTATTATAAATTATAAGTTGTAATCTTATAAAGACTCGATGGAGGCATACCCTACCCGTTAATCTTCTGGTTTGGAAATTTTTTATGAATATTCATTCAAGTGCGCCCTGAATAGAATGAATTGTTCTTTTTTTTTCTTAACTTATTTACATTTTCTTTTTTATCGTTTTAAATGAACTTTACGTACAGTTTTGATCAATTATATCTTGAGATAGATAGAAAGAGGAAGCATTCAAATCTTCAAGTCGATCTTTAATCTAAAAATAATTTGAACTCAAACTCAAGCCAATCAGTGAGTAAAACCATTGAAGTTTCAAACATAACATATTTCCTAGTGCTTATCATGTAAAACCTGACCATACATTAGCAAGCGTCTGAATTTTCGCTTGTATCTGAAAAAGAAAACAACGATTACATTTGTATTCGATTATAAGTCCCAAATTCCAAAAAAATTAATAATGTCATTGCAAATAACTATGAATAATAGCAATATAAAAGTAGTTATTAAAGGCAATATAAGCAATAGTTTTCCAATGATGGATGGGATTAGGCAAGGAGATGTTTTGTCTGCCACACTATTTAATATTGCATTTAATAATGTGTTGAAAAAACTGGATACACTTTGTTGCATACTTAACGCAATGGTGCAAATATGTGCTTACGCATACCATGTATGCCTAATTACGAGGAATTTGAGATAAATAAAAGAAATATTTGTAATATTGAAAACCGCAAGTGAAAATGAGACAAAATACATGTATGTCGGAGCCGACAATGAGGCTGGTCCACAGAGCATTGAAATATGTGGTCTCATCTTCGAGTGTCTCAAAAAATTCACATACATTCCATTGGGAGTGGAAGTGAATTCTGAAAATAAAATGTGTACAAGAGGATCGTGGCTGGAAACCGGGCGTACTATGCCAACCTAAATTTTTTTCGATCACCGCTTCCGTCACGAGAAACAAAGATAAGACTATATAAGACCTATTGTGACTTATGCAGCGGAGACATGGACCCTTTGTACTAGCACAATTACTGTATGCTGAATATTTTTGAAAGAAAAATATTGAGAATTTATGGAGCTATTTGTGAAGAGGGTGTGTGGAGGTATAGAAAAAATGCGGAGCTATATGAATTATATAATAGAGTCAACATAGTTAATTTCGTTAAAAATGGACGTATGGAATGGTTAGGCCACGTGGTTAGAATGGACTACAGCAGGATGACTTATAGGGCATTGTTCTCTACAATGTATGGCACCAAAAGAAAGGGAAGACCAAGAAAAAGATGGCTACAAGATGTTGAGAGCGACCAGAGTGTGAGGAACTGGAAGGAAAGAGCGAGCAATAGAGATGATTGGCATGCTATAATTCAGGAAGCCAAGGCCCACCCTCGGCTGTAGAGCTACATAGTAAGTAAGTAATGTGATTAGTTGAAGTTTATTTTTTGTTTACATGTGTGTATATTTATTTTTAGAATTATTATTTTTCTTTTATTCCATTTATTTTTGCTTTTTGTACATTTGGTGTGAATGAACTCCTTGTATCACTATTACTAGTGTCGTAAATTGTGACAAAATGTAATAAAATTCAGTAAAGAACTTTAAAATTAAAAAAATAAGAAACTAATGAGAGGTCTCCTCATGTGTTGATAGAACCAGAATTAATTAAGCTATGAGATAGGAATTCTTAGGCAAATAATCAAGATTGTGGAAGGTTATGGAAAGTGACGAAAAATCCAATGAATTTTCATTATTGTGTGAATGGGAAATAATCATTTATATATAAACTATAATTTCCCTAGAAAATAAAAGGATTTTTTTTTTCTGGGTATGAAAAAATTACAAAACAAAAAGAAGTTTAAGAAAATTTTTCTGAAATGGTGGATCCGGACAGGCAATGTTCAAATTTAATTTTATATGACATACAAAATTAATATTAATTGACGTTATTATGTTTTCAGAGATTTAAAAAGTTAAATAAAAAATAATTAATTCTTATAACCAGGGATTATTTTGTTATTGTCTGTCATCTTAAGAATTGGTATGGTTTTATAAAATGTCCATCTAAAATCAAATCCAAAGACAGACACTGAGTATGTTTTTTTGCACATAATTGTCATAACTTATATTAATTATCTTGAATTTATGGTTATATTATTTTAAATTTAGACAGGGGTAATGACGGAAAGAAGCAAGATCGTAATATTAAAAATAATATAAAAAAAAAAATTTAATTGGATGGTCTAGTCCCCATAAAAAAACTTCTAACTAAAAGTTCAATATTTAAAAAAAACATTAAAAACTCTCACTACCGTGTCAATGTTCAATAGTAATAATAATAATAATTATATATATATATATATATATATATTTATTTTACATTTTACTCTTACATTTTATAAGAGAGGAAAACCGATATTGGATGGTTATTTATAAATATTAGAATTTAAAAAGTTTTTCTTAGTTTTTTAGTGTGAAAAAAGTGCATCTTAACTCTTTCTTCGCTCTAGTAACTTTAACAATAATATTAGTAAATATTTATAATACTGAAGTTTTTGGGAGAGTGCAGTTTATTTTGTCTCACGGTGGCAGAGTGCGGTGGCACGATACAGTGGTGAACATGTTGGAAATTCCTCTCCATAAGAAAGGATATAGGGTCACGAAGGGACAAATGCTTATTGGTAATAGACGGAGATGGAAGCCAGACATGGTGTGCTCAGGACCAAGCGGAAGCTTCATTATAGATGCACAGATCGTCGGAGATAACCCTTGCACCACCCACTGGAATTATGTTAAAGCCAATAAATATAGGGACCTAGATTGCAGGATGGTGATCGGGCGTACTCAGTAGTGTTGCCCAAAATCGGTCTTGGTCTTGCACTTTGCAAGATCAAGACCAAGGCCGTCTAACTGTTGCAAGACCAAGACCAGGACTGGTTAAAAAAATCGATTTTTTAAATAAAAATGAAGGCAAAATAGTTACTAATACTTGAAAATCTTAGTTAGTATATGTTAATAATTGATATAACCAATATACTTTTGCATTTAACTGCTCTAATTTTTCATTCGAGCTTACTTAGGTTTCTTTTATCTAAAAAATTACAGTAATAACTCTATAGTAATAAGCTAATAAGTAACTGCAAGACTGTTGTCAGAGTCTTGCGCAAGACTAAGACCATGACCAAGACTGTTTGCAAGTTTGCAAGACCAAGACTCGTCTCGGTATCTCATTTGGGCAACACTAGTACTCAGGGAGTGCCAGGCGTGGACATAAAAGTACTCCCACTCACAATAACTTGGAGAAGGTGCCGACGTTCTTTTCAAGACATGGATATGTTGGGCAACCCCAAGAGAACGATGAACGCCATTACAATGAGAGTCCTTAAAGGTTCCCATATGAACTACAGTGGTTCAGGCTGCTTTCTCGTTTATAGCGCGATAATCAATGATTTTATTGTTGCATAATTTTTTACTTGTTTTTTTTTTAATTTATGTATTTGTTTATTTTATTTTATTTAATTTGTTATTTCTATTTATTTGTTATTTACTTATTTATTATATTATAACTTACTTATTATTTATATTGTGAATGGGTTACTTACTTCCATAGTTTTTAAAATTACTTTATTGAATATTTGATGGTTGACCGTTGCATTATGAAGGAAGGAGATGGTCCGGGATGGCGGTCATAAATAGGCTAAATAGTGGCAAAACTATTTTATTAAAAGCCAACGTTTCTTCTCAGTTCTAAGTGAAACTCCTAGCTGAACACACCTCCCTGAAGAAGATCTGCAAAGTCGGGTCGAAACGTTGGGTTTTAATAAAAATAGTTTTACCACTATTCAGCCTATTTATAACTGCCACCCCGGACCATCTCCTTCCTTTAAAATTACTTTATATATAGTGTATATTTTATGTATGTATATAAATATATTTATATATTTTTTCTTTTACATTTTTATCGATGCAGCTACGATTTGTACGTAAATGCAATGCTCAGTATATTATAACTTAATGTTAGTATATGTTTTTTTTATATGATTCTGAGATTCCAATATCCAAGATAAAAGGTTACGGTGGTGAAGGTAGCACCAAATTATATTAGAAATTGAGAAAGTTGCTGGAATTTTTTTGTGTTGTGAAATGTATGAAATGTGTATGAACTACGGAAAAAATGAATTAAAATTAAACGTACATAAACGTATGCTACGCCAACGGTCATTTGTAAGGAGAGGAAAAAAATCATGGCAGTAAGTTTAATGATACTTTGGACGAAATTATTTGATTATTTTTCAATAGTAATCCTCAATCCGCAGGCGTAATCCTCAATCTGCATCCGTAGTATCCTCGGTCCCATCCTCTACACAGTTTATAAAGCTGACATCCCAACCCATCCTGAAACTGTCATCACCACTTACGCCGATGACACATGTTTGCTATCTGATAATACCGATCCTTTAATTGCATCCCAAACTCTTCAATCACATATCACAAGCCTTGAAGAATGGTGTAAAAATTGGAGAATAAAAATAAATTCCAACAAATCCCATCAAATCACATTTACCCTCCGTCGTAAACCTATGACTTCTTGTCCTACAGTAACCTTCAATAATACTCCACTTATTCCTGTTGAGCAAATCCGTTACTTAGGACTCCATTTGGATAAACGTCGTACTTGGAATCCTCATACTAGACTGAAACGACAAGAAACTGCTCGACGTTTCCGACTGCTCCAATACTTACTAGACAAACGCTCCAAACTTTCTATTAATTACAAAAGACTTATCTACATAACTATAATAAGACCTATATGGACATACGGAGTTGAGCTTTGGGGCTCCACCAAACCATCGAATTCCTATCGTATCCAATCCTTACAATCCAAAATCCTCCGTAAAATCCTTAATACTCCATACTTTGTCACAAATAAAACCATTCATAAAGACCTTAATGTACCATATGTCGCTGATTTAGCTCGAGCCAGATATCTATCCTTTCATGATAAACTTCAGTCCCATCCAAATCCGCTTGTTTCCACTCTTGCTTCTTCCTCGATTCCTGATAATCCTCCTAGGAGTCTGAAAAGGAGATGGCCTCGTGATCTTCTTACTTAAAATTATTTAGAGAGTGCTACCACTGGGTAGTAACTCTTCAAGCCTGTACATGCCATTATTTATATTTGCGCATATTTACTAGTTGTATTTGTATACAGTTGTAAATTCCATTAAATAAACAAAAAAAATAAAAAAATAGTAATCTACTTCATTTTATCTCTTCTGGATCTTCTGGAGTCTTGCCTTATCTTGAGGATATATATATATATATATATATATATATATATATATATATATATATATATATATATATATACAGGTTGTCCCGTAAGTAGAGGGAAATTTTTATAGGAGTGATAGCAGGCCTCAAGAGCTACAAAAAAAGTTCATATAAACAATGGGCCAATTTTCAGCAGAAAAGTGGTAAATCCAAGTTTTGTGTTTTTTTTAAGTGAGTCATGTTTTTATTGAATCGAAAGCAATAACTTAAGAAATGTTTGATTTAAATAATTAATAATTGCTTCATTGTAAACAAGATGAAATTTACTATAAATAAACATAGAGTTTATCATTGTTAAAATCATTTACAGAGGACTTTTGAGCGGCTAAGCTAAGAAGTTCTTTTTTTATAATAATCATAAATTATTCGCGATTTTTTTTTATTTTTATCACCATCCAGCTATACTAAGGTTACCCCACTTGTAATAATAAACTTTCTCGTTAATTAAGCTTTAAGTCCGTATTAATTAAGTTGATTCATATTAGGGAAAAACTTGAGATTAAGCTCAAATTGTGTAATAAAAATGATATTTTTTATCCAGTCCAGTAAAATTATCCCTGTTTTCAGCTAAAATGACTACAATTAATTGTTGTAAAGCTTTTGTTTTCCGTTTTTCCATGATCTGGGTGGTATTATAATAAACCCGATTGCCTAAACACACATTTTATTTATAAAAAAAATATTTCGAAAAGTACTTATTTTTCAAATATTTTTAGGATAAATTGGTTACAAACTGTGTTTTTCAACCAGACCTCTATTATAGGAATTAGTCTGTATTTGTGATTGAAAAAATAAAAGTTTCTAATCCTAAAATTGATGTTTAAAATAAAAAAAAAACCTGATGATTGCTTCAATTATTTGATTTAAAACGTTAATATTAGAACCAGAAACATTTAGTTTGTCACTTATAAATGTGGATCAATTTCTAAAATACAGATTTGTGTGAAAAAACATAGTTTTTAACCGATTAATCGGAAAAAAGTAATTGAAAAATCGGCATTTTCAAATTATTTATTTATAAATAAAATGTGTTTTTAGACAATTGGGTGCATTAAAATACACCCCAGATCATGGAAAAACAATCATCATTTTTTTTTTTTACAAAACGACTCGAAACTCGAAGTTTTTTTAAAAGTGGGGTAACTGTTATAGTTGGATGATGATAAAATAAAATGGGGAATAATTTCTGATTTTTCTAGAAACAGATCTTAGATTAGTTCAGCCGCTCAAATGTTCTCTGTAAAAGATTTTAACAATGATAAACTCTATGTCCGTTTAAAGTAAATTTCATCTTGTTTACAATAAAGAAATTAATAATTATTTAAATCAAATATTTCTTAAATTATTGCTTTCGATTCAATAAAAAACATGATACTTAAAAAAACAACACAAAACTTGGATTTTCTAAAATTTGCCCATTGTTTATATAAAGTTTTTGTAGCTCTTGAGATCAGCTATTGTTCCTATAAAAAATTTCTTCTACTTACGGGACACCCTTTATATAAAAGTATATACGCCATGCCTATAGGTATGAATGAATTTAGGATGACTTTTATTCATTTTTTTTATTATATTTTTGTATTCAAATTTAATTTATTTTTTTCTGTTTACTAATTTTTTTATTATTACTTATTCATACAAGATGTCCAGTAAGGAGTGGGAAATATTTATAGGAGTGATAGCAGATCTCAAAAGCTACAGAAAAATAAGAGAACTATATAAACTTTGGTCTGATTTTTGGCAGCAAAAAAGGAAATTCAAGTAAGTATTGTTTTCTTCTGGAATAGAAAGCGTTAACTAAAGAATCACTGTAATCTAGACAAAGTTTACTTCAAATGGAAATAGAGTTATTCATTGTTGAAACTATTTAAGGCGTAATGTTTAGCGGATAAACTAATCTTCTGTTTAAAAAAAAAAAATCATAAATTATTAGCGAATTTTTTTTTTTATCAACCTCCAACTATACCACAGACACCACACTAAAAACACCTCTTCGTTTAATAAGCTGCAAGTCCATATTATAGTCCGTGGTACAGACCCCCTTTTTTCCGAATAATTAACATCCGGCTGAAACTTTGTAAATAGCTTCTTAAGATCCAAGTAGAAAACAAATGGGTATTTACGAATTTTTAGAACCTAATTAAATAGACAAAGTTTGCCAACCTCCAGATTGAAAACGCCCCAATGCCGAGAATTATCGTAAATAAAATATTTGTAGGTTACGATGAGATGAAGCTATTTACGAAGTTTCAACCGGATGTTAATAATTTGATAAAAAGGGGTCTGTACCACGGAATATTAATTAAGTTTAGGTTTATTAGGTAAAAATAAATCTTAAGTTTTGTAAATAAATGATGTGATTTTATATTTTGCCACCTAAAACTACCAGTCTTAAAAAAAAAAAAAATGATTACACTAAACTAATGCAAAGCTTTAATTTCTTTGTTTGTCGATGGCCTGAAATGTATTATAATAAACATTATTGCCTAAATACACTGGACAATAATTATAGTGATACATGAACACATTCACACCATATATACACAAGATATAAGATGAACAAAAATAAAATAATAATCAAAAACTATGTACTATAAAAAAAAAATAACCTAAAGATAAGTAAATTAAAAAACATAAAAACACAATCATACCTATATACAATTTTCCCTCCAACTATTGAAGGAAAATCAGGGCTCCAAGAGATCCCTGCGCTACTCTCTCAACCGCGTCACTGGTTTTAAAGCCAGTGGAGCCCTGGAGCCAGGGTCCAAAAATCGACCTGATCGCAGGCGAAGGTTTGAATGTAAATTACAAAAGTGTATGTTATTCCGAGTAAAAAGAACCTTGTCTGCCGTTCCAGAGCCGCTACTTTCAAAAATGGCGGCTGATTTAAAGGATATTAGGCCAATAATTTGATGATCGGAACGGGAAATCCATTGCGAAAAATGTGAGAAGAGTTTTTATTTTTTTAACTTTTGTATATGGTTTTAGACATATAAAAAAACAAAATTGCTAAAGCAGGCCACCAAGGGAAAACTTTTTACAGCCAAAAAAGTCAGATTTTTCGATATTTTTTGGATTTTTCATCTATAACTCCTAAACAATGCATCAAAGCGAAAAATGTATTCTTTAATAAATTAAAGAACGTCAAATTTTGCGTCAAACGAGTACATAAACTTTAAAATTTGGTTGCGTGGTAAGGTATAAAACCACGGTCAACCAACGTTGAGTTTTACCAAATTTGTCAAAAACTCAGACAAATTACTATAAATGACTCTATAACTTGGAAATGAGTTCCCTAAGAGGAAAAAGCCATAGAATCAAAGTTGTAGAGCATCCAATTTTGTGTATACTAAGTAATGAAATTTTTATTGTTGACCAATTATATATTTCGAATCGGGGTTTGTTATTCCTTTATAAATTTCAGTATCTTTCGGCACATCGTTTACCAAAATCTTTTGCTGTTGAGAGGTGGAAAAGAGGCTTATACTGCATGTAACAGACTTTAAACAAAATTAACTCAGTAGAATAGACACTCATGCTGTTGAAATATTGAAAATCACGTTTACCTTCATTACCAATATCTAACCATTGACTTCCTGTCCTTCAGTATCCTTTAACAACACCTCACTTATTCCTGTTGAACAAATCCGTTACCTAGGACTCCATCTGGACAAACGTCTAACTTGGAATCCTCATACCAGGCTGAAACGACAAGAAACAGCTCGACGTTTCCGACTACTTCAACACTTACTAGACAAACGCTCTAACCTTCCAATCAATTATAAAAGACTGATTTACATGACTATAATAAGGCCTATTTGGACTTAAGGAATTGAGCTATGGGACTCCACCAAACCTTCAAATTCCTCCCGCATACAATCCTTACAATCCAAAATCCTTCGTAAAATCCTCAATGCTCCTTACTTTGTTACAAATAAAATTCCTTATGTATCAGATTTGGCCCAATCCAGATATCTGTCCTTCCATAATAAACTTCATAACCATCCCAACCCTCTTGTCTCTAACCTTGCTTCCTATTCGATTCCTGATAACCCTCCGAGGCGTCTGAAAAGAAGATGGCCACGTGATCTTCTAATATAGACATATTATTAGAGTGCTACCAATGGGTAGTTTCTCAACATGTGTTCCATGTCTTTATACCAATGTGCGAATTTACCAGTTGTATTTTTTGTATACAGTTGTAAATATCATATAAATAAATAATAATAATAATAATAATAAAATTTTATGTACTCGTTTGACGCAAAATTTAACGTTCTTTAACTTATTAAAGAATACATTTTTCGTTTTGATGCATCGTTTAGGATTTATTGATGAAGAACGCAAAAAATGTCGAAAAAATCTGACTTTTTTGACTGTAAAAAGGTTTCCCTTGGTGGCTTGCGTCAGCAATTTTGTTTTTTACATGTCTAAACCCATATATACAAGTTAAAAAAGTAGAAATTTTTCTCACATTTTTCGCAATGGATTACTCATTTCGATCCTCAAATTATTAGCCTAACATTCTTTAAATCAGCCGCCATTTTTGAAAGCAGCGGCTCTGGAACGGCAGACAAGGTTTTTTTTACTCAGAATAACATACACTTTCGTAATTTACAATCAAACCTTCGCCTGCGATCAGGTCGATTTTTGGGCCCTGTGCGCTTTAGCTACATACACTCATGTCTTGAGTGGAGAATCTGAGCATTGCCAGAACTCCAAGATATATACTACAAAAGATCTCTGGGCCACTGCCGCTTCAACCTTCGAGGAGGATTGTAGGGATGAGTGGAACTAGATAGGGATTGCGTTAGGGGATTTGGATGATTTATAAGGTTCTGATGGAATTTGGAATTTTTTTTAGGAATAAGGTCGACGACAAATGAGATGTTAAGGTCATGATGAAGGGTTTTGTTTGCATACAAATATAAAAACAATTATTAGTTTATATATTTGTTTGTTCATTTTTGTATTTATGAAAATTTATTAATCTTTTTTTTTTTTTTTTTTTTTTTTATAAACATTACAGGAAAGGATACTTGTACTTGTACTTATTGTCTTCGGGTGAGGCAATTGTATAATTATTTAATAAATTAAAAAAAGACTTATTTTAAGTGAATTTTCGATATATTAAAAAAAAAAAAAAAAGAACTTCTTCTGAAGTTAATATGCCCCGAATGGAATTTAATAAATGTTATATGAGTACTTATACATGTATATGAGTACTCTTACTTTAAGATGTGAGTTTTTTTTTTTCCTGGATGATGGCTAAGTAACATTTAATTGTCGGTTTTATTTGAAATGTCCACAAACTAATCGGTCGTCGGTTGAGCGAGCATGCGTCGATCAATATGGCAACGCGGCAACTGAGGGACGCAATACGAGTAGCAGTTGGTAATCAGCCGCCAGGTTAAAAGGTAACTCAGCTTTTTTCGTCGAGGAAAAATTTTCTTAGACTTAAAAAAAAAAAAAAATTCTTTTAACTAAAATTTAAATAAACCATATTACTCATTGTTTAAAAATAACAATCAAATAACAAATATTTGATAATTTTAGTGCTTTGATCATACGACTGTGATTTGGCATCTTAGAAGCTGTAATCGTTTGTGCAGTTGTATATACAGTTCCTATCTTGTGTTGCCTTTTAAATTAATATTTTTAATAATATAGATCATAAATCCACTAAAAAAAAAAAAAAAAACCGAAATCCACTTACTAATAAGAATTAAAAATTAGTTTTAAAGATTTACTGTATAATCGTTTTTATGCCTGCTTCACTAAAGGCGATAATGGTATAAGAGTAAATCGATTTTTTTTTTTTCACTAACTAATGTTATTTTTAAATATTAAGCAATTTCATGTTTGACGGCGATAATCATAATGCTGGTAAATGAGTACTTTATTTATATTCTGCATTTTTTTATATAAAGGAGTCTCTTATTATGATTTAAAATTTATAATTTTGATTTATTTTCCTTTTGTCAACGTTTCGGGCTCCTGGCTCATCTTCGTAGGCAATTTTTCTGGGTGATGTTTTTCATTTTATATGAAGAAAAAAAAAATTGCATCATTCATCTCTTAGTCTTTTTAATCCATGAGTAACATTTGTTCATAATTTATAATTTTTATATTTTAAATATAAATATATTTTTTAGTAGGTAAATTTGTTCATTTTTAAATTTTAAATTAAATTTTATTCATTTATTTATTCTGCGTAACATGAAGACAACTTATAATTATTTCCCTGACAATAATTTATGTGCAGTAAAATATTAAATGACACTGTGATAATTTGAACTAACAGTAAATAATAAATTTTACAATAATAATAAAGTGTATATAAATTATAATAATCGCATAAACTGGTAAAATATTTAATCTGCACCAAAATATTATCGATTTTATTTAGAATTTTTCATTCTACATATCTTGTTGTATTTAAAATAAGTGATTTTGGTTAATAAATTTTTCGCTATTGAAATGTTTATTAGACCATCTAATACTTATTTCTCTATTAGCATAAAAATTCTCAAATGGTTATCGGTTCAAATACTTTTTTCCCCTTTCATCTATGCTTTTTCATTTTCTGATATGATTTTAATATATTTTCAGTGTATTTTATCTTATATCCTTTTCGTATATTTTTTTTTTAGAATTCATATCTCTATAAATAAATAGTATGTCAAGACAGTGAAAGAGGCATTAATGTTTATAAATGCGATGCTGAACCACTAATAATCATTTTTTAAAAAATGAAT